ATGAGGTCTCGCTGCTCAGGCGGGTCTCGAACCTGCAGGCTCAGGCAATCCACTCACCTCTGCCTCCCAAAGGCGCGGGATTACAGGCTGAGCCACCAAGCCCGGCTGACAATTTCTTTTTGCAATGTTTTCATCAGTTCTGCTCGTTACCAGCCATCCTAACCTCTTTTCATCAGTGACACTTTCTCTCCTCTCAGAAAAACATTTAATCCATTTGTACACTGCCATTTTCTTCATGGCATTATCTCTATAAACTTGGACTATTGTGCCCCTGATTTCACTTCCACTCTTGCCAAGTTTAAACAAATTTAATGTTTGTTCATTGCTCTAATAAGGTCCTCAAACTTTTAAAACAGGGGGCCAGTTCACTGTCCCTCAGACCGTTGGAGGGGCGGACTATAGTTTAAAAAAAAAGAGGAATTTGTTCATAGTTTTTTTTTAAACTATAGTCCACCCCTCCAACGGTCTGAGGGACAGTGAACTGGCCCCCTGTTTTAAAAGTTGGAGGACCTCTGTAAAGCTCCAGCATTCTCATGATGGCACACAAAAATATGCAACCACAATAATGAATGCCACTCAGCAAGATACCACCACACATCAACACAAACACAGCTGTGAGACACAGATATACCAAGATTATGAAACCTTACAAAGTTATTTGCATTTGCACAGTACTGGCAACATAAGCACACAGTGGCAAATTCGCAAACTTAGTTATCAGACCCCACATACACACTTACATACTCACATATACATTCATCTGCTTATACATGCTCACACATACACACACACACACATACACACACACACACATGCTCACACATTCACATATGGTCACATATAGACACATGCTCACACACATACACACATATACTTACACACACAGACACACATACTTATTCATAGTCACACAGGCACACACGTTCATACGTACTCACACAGTCACCCACACGGAACCTGCTGTCCCTTGATTCCCTCTGGATCTTGTCTTCAGAGGCTGCAGCACATCTGAGTCAACGAGCTTTGAAGGCTCTGAGGCAGCCCATGATGTAATCCTTTCCTCTCTCAGCGAGGCTCTCACTGCAGGAGGGTACCTTCATGGCACCCTGAGGACAGGGCAATAGAGCAATTTTAAAACTCACCCCAAATACAGAACACCCAGGACCCTCTGCCTCACACAGGCCTTGTGCTGAGCATGTGGCCGACCAAGACTGGGGCCTTCAGCACGGCCCCTCTTTGACCCTCTCTCAAAATCGTATAAAATGGATTGATCTTGCCTGTGGACAAAGAAAAATAGCAAGAAACTCCATGCAGAAATACAGCTGGAAGGATTATAACCCAACACTTTTGCAGTGTCTCACAGTCCACAGTTGCATTTCTAATTCACCATCACATTTCATCTTCACATCCCTTGACACCGAGGCCCAAAGGAGAGGAAGGCTCACATCATATAACATTGAGGTAGAGCCGGGCTCGGTGGCTCAGCCTGTAATCCCGCACCTTGGGAGACTGAGGTGAGTGGATTGCCTGAGCCCGCGGGTTCGAGACCTGCCTGGGCAACTTGGCGAGACCTCATCTCTACGATAAATCAAAAATCAGCCGGGCATGGTAGCACGCGCCTGTAATTCCGGCTACTCAGAAGGCTGAGGCGAAAGGATTGCCGGAACCCAGCAGATCGAGGTTGTGGTGGCCAGGAGTGGCCACTGCACTCCAGTCTGGGCAACAGAGTGAGACTCCAACTGAAAAAAAAAAATTGAGGTGGAAAGGTATTAATAATTGTTTTTCATCTCTTTTTACCACCCTTAAGCAATTTTTGAAGTTAAATTAAAAAAAAAAAAAAAGATATTCTGTGAAAATGTTTGCTTACGTTGCTGACCTCACTTTGTCAGAGGCTATTTCGGGATGAGTTGTTGACATCCTTCCTATTTGTCTCCTCTTTCTTTCTGCACTCTTCCCAGGACTATGGTGGGTACCTGAGCACTTACATCCTCCCAGCAAAGGGTGAAAACCAAGGTCAGATTTTCACCTGTGGCTCTGCTCTCTCTCCAATAACAGACTTCAAACTCTACGGTAAATGACCTCTCTGCACATCCCACTGCCCACCCCTTCAACACCACTGTGCCTTTAGCCTCATGATAAACTGCCTGGAGTTGTATGGCTGACCGGTGAAACCTCACAGGCAGAACCTGTGGGAAGGAGGGGAGGGTCTTAGGGGATTAGTTTTGCTTGAAAGTGGTCAATCCACAGATGCCTATAAATCACATCTCAGCATGAAAGACTAGGAGTTAAAAACAGAACTCTTGGTTCCGCTTGCAGTAGTGGGACTGTGGAAGTACTTTGTGTGTGCAGGAAGAAAGGAGACTGGCTGGCCATGCTGGAGCTGCCCTTCCGCTTTGCTCCCAGAATCTGGGCAGGGCCCCTCATTGAGTCCTGTCTGCGTGTGGGTATTTGGTGAGCAGGTGTTCCATGAAAAGGATGGGGTGGTTGAGAGAGCATTGCTACTAAGAGTAATGTAGCAGAGGTCTAAAAGGCTCAGCTCTGCTTTTCTCCCTGGCTGTGCAGACAATACCCAGCTGGCACCTGGCCTTGGAGAGCATGGTTTTCCTGGGGCAGGAGCCAGAGACAGGGACAGGTTGTCAGGATGACCTGCTGTGGGGAACTAAAGGGAGGTAAGCTTGCCCAGATGTGGGAACCAGACCTCTGCCCAGGCACAGATGGGACTTTACTGTCAGTGTCTTGGGGTTCCAAGTCCCCTACACTCACCTGCTTCTGGTCACCTAACCCCTTTTCTCTGAATGGGAGTGGCTCTGTGACATGAGCCCATTTATTTAGAGCCTGCAATGAGGTCTTTCCTGCAGCTCTGAGAACTCATATTTGGGTTACAGCTACAGGGCAGACAGGCTGTTAGCCCCAGCTGACTCCACCCTAAGCTGCGCTGCTGAGTGAGGATAAAAATTGGCATCTGGTCACTGGTCTTCCAGAGCCTTACCAGAAGCCTGATGTTCCCTGTGGGTCAGAGAAACGCTATGCCCTTCCTCAGCCCCACGGTGCCAGCCAAGCCCTGTGGATGCCACCAGGCAAGGCAGGGACTACCATGGGACCAGCAGCCCTCTGGCTCATGCAGCCAAAAGTCTCCCAGCAGAAGCACTCATCTTTACAATGAGCTCTTTCTAATGCAAATTTTGACTTATAATTTATACAAGAACTCTCCTGGTTCAAAATTTGAATAATTTAAGAGTAATTTTCCCATGGGAGTATATGTGGCATTTTTCAAATTCAATGAGACTTTCTTAATTTTTTAATCATGCTATTTCAAATTTACCTGATTCAAATGCACATAGATGCTACCACCGTCTTTATAGGTCACGGTGCTCAAAATTAGCAAGTCTCTCTCTTTTTTGTTTTTGTTTTTTTCTGTGGCTGGGTCTCACTCTGTCACCCAGGCTGGAGTGCAGTGGCATGATTATGGCTCATCACAGCCTTGACTTCCTGGGCTCAGGCAATCCTTCTGCCTCAGCCTCCCTAGTGGCTGGGACTACAGGTGTGCACCACCATGCCCACCTAACTTTTTTAATAGAAATTCACTATGTTGCCTAGGCTGGTCTTGAACTCCTGGGCTCAAGTAATCCTTCTTCCTTGGTCTCCCAAAGTTCTGGAATTACAGGCGTGAGCCACTGCACCTGGCCTCCATAACTAGAAAGTCTTCTTCATTGTTCTTTTTTTTAAGTGGGCCTACCCTCGAACATTGTGGTATTGTGTAGAGCCCTTTCCTCTCTGGCTTTACTGACAGGGCAGCCCTGTAAGAGGCTTTACGTCTTCTTTTTCTCAGCTGGCAGACTGCAGGCCCTTATGCAGAACCAGGTCCTAGAGCCAGTGTTTGGGATTGAACAAAGACATGCCAGGGCTTTTTTATTTTATTTTATTTTATTTTATTTTATTTTATTTTTCTGAGTAGGAGTCTCACTCTGTTGCCCAGACTGGAGTGCAGTGGCATGCTCATGGCCACCACACCATTGATCTTCTGGGTTCAGGTGATTCTCCCACCTTAGCCTTTCAAGTAGCTGGAACCACAGGTGCGCGCCACTATGCCTGGCTAATTTTTTTGATTTATTGTAGCGACGAGGTCTCTCCATGTTTCCCAGGTTGGTCTCGAACCCCTGACTCAGGCAGTCCTCTCACCTCTGCCTCCCAAAGTGCTGGGATTATAGGCGTGAGCCCCTGCTCCCAGCTAGGACTTTAAAAAATAATAAGAAGAAGAAAATCCTGATGGAAATTTGCTCTTTTATTACTTGTTCCCTTTCCCAGGTGTTGGGATAAAATAAGGACTATCCTATTCGTTTAGGATTCAGATTGATTTAGTTTTGCTGTACTGATAAAACTCCAACCACTAACACAAACACATTTGAATGTTACCGTTGTACTGTCTGATTACCATGTAAAGACCCAAGAGATTTAGATGGTGTGTTTTGAAAACAAACAATTTTCCATGCAAGTGGGAGTGATACTCCCCTCATGCTCCCTGGAGTCTGGGAACTGACCCACAGAGCTGTGAGGCCAAGAGGTAACCTCCCTCTATCTGCTTCTGTCCAGCCTCTGCGTTTTCCGAGAGGTACTTGGGTCTCCACGGACTTGACAACAGAGCATTTGAGGTATGTTTGAGCACAACTGCTGTCAGCAGAAATGCTGGTTTGGGGTTCTTTGGTTATTCGTGAGCAAAGAATTGGATGTGACACCAGACGCAGGACAGCAAGGCAGAGTTTTATAAGCAAGTCAAGCAGAGCAGAGTGAGCTGGTCCACATCTAAGAATCAAGAGGAGCGGATGGTTCAGAGAGTGAGACAGCCCAGGTTATTTCTTTGGTTTGGTTTTTTTTAATCATTTACTTTTCTCTGTCTTAGTCTCTGGTATCGGTTGGTGGGTTCCCTTTTGGGCTTGTTTCCCTCTTTATGGCTGGGTTATAAATCCTTCCTGTGACCTTTGACATTAACTCATGTTTAGGCATTGTGAGTTCTACCTTGTTAAAGTTACAACTATCTTTTGAAATTTTAGGGCCACACATCTTCTATCTTTTCATGATTTATTACCTGTACTTGCAAGGAACTCTAGTTTACAAGACTAAGCTAATGCTTAGCATAAAACATAAGTCAGAAACTAAATATCATAAAGAAAAGGAGTTTGCATTTTTAGGATTTTAAAGAGTTTCAAGAGAGCCCAACAGATTGTTCCTTATCTAGATTTGTAAATCCTTCTGTAAAGACGTATAGCTTCTCTACGCCTCTTAGTTATTAGGTGATTGAATATGGCTAGCTGTCCTCTCTCAAACATTAGCAGTGATTTACAAGATGAGGTTGGTCTTCCTAAAAAGTTACATTGAAGAAGGGGTGGGGAGAGGACCACATTCTAAGGGTAGCGTACAGAGAAAAAAAAAAATCCTCTTTAAATCCAAGCAGTCCAGCTCATCATGAAAGAAAATGTCTAAAATGAGCAAATAACTAGACGTCAGCTGGCTTTCCATTCCTTGCCCTTTTCCTCTTCATCCCCTGCTCATGTCTGCCTAACTACCTAAGACTGTCACTTGGCAACATGAGGATTTCGATGACATCAATCAACCCCTTCTCCGAATTCCGCTCTCCCACCCCTCTGACTCTGGTCCAGCTCTGTAACCCACTGCTCCTTTGCGGGGCCCAGTGCTTCTCCTCTCCAACTTCACAGCCCACCCCGAGAAACCTCTGAATCCAACCAGACCGTGGATTGAGGTGAATATGGCCTCTCGTGGTTCCATCTGACTTCCTGGGATAAAGAAGAAAATGAGAACATGTTTGTTGGGGAGTGTGTCCCACAACCCGTAGAGACTTTCCACACAGATGACTCCTGGTTCTCCCTGCATCCACGACTAGTGCTTCTTGGGGAGAATTAGCTATTGACTGAGCAACGTCCTAAAGCAGAGCCACTCAGTTGACTCAGTATGGATGTCAGACACAGCATATCTCCAGCTGTAGGCAGGTGGAAAGCTAGAGTTCTCGTGCAAGGCGGGACTATGCTTTCAAAGTGGAAGCTTTTGCATGGACAAAGGAACTGAGTCTGCCCAGGAAGTCATCGTCCGTGGCTCCAGGTGAAACAATGGCCCTCTGAGACTACCTGGAGTTGGAGAAAACTTTTTCCTCTTCTCCCTTCTTCTCTCCCATCCCCTCCTCTTCCTAAAAAGGAGTTAATGTAGGGGAGAAGCCAGGCTTCTAAGATGTGTTGAATGTTTCCTTACAGATAAGAAGCATCCCAGTTCTGCCAGAGCTTAATGTTTCTAGTACACTTTACTTACCTTCTCAGTCAGGTTCCAGTCAGAATACCTGGCTCCTTGCAGTGCAACCTACTAATGCCCTCCCCTTTCTTTCCTCCACACGTGCAGATGACCAAGGTAGCCCATCGAGTCTCTGCCCTGGAAGAACAGCAATTTCTGATCATCCATGCCACTGCCGATGGTAAAGATTACAAACATGAATTCGTTGTGATCCAGTAAAAAGCATTCCTTTTGATTCTGCCGTGGATTTTGATAAATACCTTCTTCTCTTTTTTTTTTTTTTTTAAACAGAAAAAATCCATTTCCAGCACACAGCAGAACTCATTACACAACTAATTAGGGGGAAGGCTAATTACAGCTTACAGGTACAGTATGCATATTACTCTGTTTTGCACCTGGAGCAAGATATTCCTTTTCATGGGGAAAGAACTGATTGGTGTTCAGGGCATTCCACTGCAGCAAACACACCTTGCTGCTTTGGTGGTCGGGATGGGTGGGGCGATGGGCAGGGGCACATCACGTTGGCCAATCAGCACATGCTTAACTTTTTCTTCTAATTAATAATAGCTCAGGCCAGGCGTGGTGGCTCATGCCTGTGATCCCAGCACTTTGAGAGACTGAGATGGGAGGATCACTTGAACCCAGGAGTTCAAGCCCAGTCTGGGCAACATAGTGAGACCTCGTCTTTACAAAAAATCAAAAAGTTAGTAGGGCATGATGGTATGCTCCTGTAGTCCCAGCTACCTGGGAGACTGAGACAGAAAGCCTGAGCCCATATTGTTGAGACTGTGGTGAGCCATGATCATGCCACTGTACTCCAACCTGGGCAAGAGAGTAAGACTCTGACTCAAAAAAAAGGTCAACTTTGTGCTTAGGCCGTGTTTAAACCCCTTTAGAATAACAACCACTACCACCTCGATTTCCATGCCACCCACTACATTCCTTCTCTGGACAATAAGCAGGGCCAGGCCAGCACCCACACCACCCAGCAGTGGGCTGGTGGTGTTCCAGTTGGGAGTGGTCTGTGGGGAGGGTGGCCATTGTGCTAGGATTGATGAGAGCAATGCTGGCAGGTCCTAAACCTTCTCTCCCTGTTTCCCTCTGGCCAACACCACACATTACTAAACACTGGCAGGTTGTCCAGGCCCCACCTGTGGCTAGACCATAGCGAAAGAGCATTGCCCTTCCCAAATCATAGCCCTTCCATGCTGGTATCAAGTGCTGACCCAGCAGCACCCAGCCTAGGCTCACTCCAGCAATGTGTAGGCTGCTTCTGGAATCTTCTGTCATTTCCTTTCTGCCCTCCGTTTTCTGGTGAAATAGGGATGACCCAATGGTCTTTTCAAGTCCAGAGATAAATGGAAGAGTTCATCTGTGATCAGTGGCAGGCACCTGCCTCCCTCCTGCCTGGGGAGCACACAGAATGCTTTCCATTTCATTGTGGAGTTTCGATACCCTCAAGACTTGGGCTACATCCTCTATAGACCCCAAATGTGTATCCAAGCTGCAAATGCAAACAAACAGATCCAGACTGTGAAGAATGTTGAATGAAATGTTTTCTAATTTAGTTAACCAATTGTCACTGGGAGCCACATGTGGGCTGGGCCAGCTAGGCAAGGAGATCCCTAGCAAGAAGGGAGTTTGACTCCAGTGTTGATGGGGAGACAGAAGGACTTGGTTATATTGGATGTGAATTTCCTTCTGGAAAATGTTCAGATTTTTTCATAGTGAACTTGATAGTTGCCATGACACTGTTAAATACATTTTACACACATGACATGGTCTTGGTAGATACAAAGGTAGATCCATATATACTAATGTGGTCCCCTCCCCAAGATGCATGGCTGAGTTGAATCTGCCAGTACTGAGCAGCCAGCATCATTGCAGGCCCCGCTGGTGTCAGTAACAGGGACCCACTCGGTGCCATGAGTGTGGGCACAGCACTTGCCTCAGCAGACACATGATGACTCTGTGTCCATGCCCAGCTCCAAGTAAGAGCGCTGGAGACAGGGGACCTGAGACAGGAAGAAATAGGCTTCCTGTTTCATATCTTTTGCACTACTTGATTTTTTTGTTTGTTTGTTTTACACTTCCCCATACACAACCTAAAACTTAGCTTCTTTTTTTTGTTTTTTTTGTTATTGTTGTTTGAGTCAGAGTCTCACTCTATTGCCTAGGCTGGAGTGTAGTGGCATGCTCACAGCCACTGCAGCCTCGACCTGCTGGGCTCAGGAGATCCTTCCACCTCAGCACACTACAGGTGTGCACTACCACATTTGGCTAGTTTTTTGATTTATTGTAGAAAGGTCTCACCCAGTTGCCCAAGCTGGTTTCGAACCCATGGACTCAGGCAGTCCTCTAGCCTAGGCCTCCCAAAGTGCTGGGATTATAGGCTTGAGCCACTGTGCCCAGCCTGTTTTATTTTTTCCACTCCCCTTTTTTTTTAACTTTTAATTTTTTATTTTAAATATGTGAGGTACAATTCAGGGTTAGGTATACAAATGTTCATTTTGCAGATATCCTTGTTGATGAGCTTACCCCCCCTCCCTGGCAGTTTCCCACTACTGCCAATCCCTCCCCCAACCTCCCCTGGCAGTTTCCCACTACTGCCAATCCCTTTCTTATAGTATTATGACAGTTGTTCAAGGTCCGCTTATAAGTGAGAACATGTGGTACTCAGTTCTTTGTTTCTGTGATAGGTCACTCAGTATTATAGACTCTAAGTCCTTCCAAGTTGCTGCGAAGTTCATAATTTTGTCCTTGTTTATGGCTGCATAATATTCCATTATGTATATGTACCACCTTTTTTTTAAAATCCAGTCCTCTTTCAATGGGCAGCACAGTTGGTTCCATGTTTTCGCTATTATGAATAATGTTGCAATAAACATGCATGTGCAAGCATCTTTTTCATAGAGTGATTTGAGTTCCTCTGGGTATATTCCCAGTAAGGGGATTGCAGGGTTGTATCGGAGGTTGATTTTTAGATTGTTTAGGAATCGTCACACTATTTTCCACAGAGGCTGTACTAGTTCACACTCCCACCAACGGTGCAGAAGTGTTCCATTTTCCCTGCATCCTCTCCAGCATCTGTTGTTTTTTGAGTTATTCATGATGGCCATCCTGACTGAAGTTAGGTGGTATCTCAGTGTGGTTTTAATTTGCATTTCTTAGATGACTAGTGAGGCTGAGCATTTTTTCATGTATCTTTTGGCTACTGATATGTCTTCTTTTGAGAAGTGTCTATTCATATCTTTTGCCCACTTTGTAATAGAGCTGTTTGTTTTTTTCTTTTTGGCATGTTTGAGTTCTTTGTAGATCCTAGATGCAAGGCGTTTGTTGGATATACAGTTGGCAAATATTTTTTCCAGTCTGTGGGCTGTCTCCCCACTCTCTCAATGGTTTCTTTGGCTTTGCAAAAATTTGTCAATTTGATGAGGTCCAGCTTGTCTATCTTATCTCTTATGGTATGGGCACTTGGGGTTTTGATCAGGAATTGATTGCCAATTCCAATTTGCATAAGAGTGTCTCCTGCATTTTCTAATATTCCTATAGTTCAAGATTTTATGTTTAGGTCTATGATCCATTTAGAGTTGATTTTTGAGTAGGAGTTATAAGTAGGGGTCTTGTTTTAATCTTCTACATCTGACAAGTCAGTTTTCCCAGCACCATTTACTAAATAGGTTCTCCTTTCCACAGTGGTTGATGGTGGAGGCTTTGTCGAAGATAATTGGTTCAGAAATTGAGGTTTTGCTTCTGGAATCTCTACCCTGTTCTATTGGTCTATCTGTCTGTTCTTGACCAATACTAGGCTGTTTTGATTATTGCAGCTTTATAATAAAGCTTAAAGTCTGGGAACATGATGCCTCCTGTGTTTTTTTGTTTTGTTTTGTTTGGCTGAGGATTGTTTTGGCTGTTTGTGGTCATTTATCTTTCCATATGAATTCCTGTATTTGTTGTTTCCAGGTCTGAGAAGAATTCTGCAGGTAATTTAATGGCTATTGCATTAAATCTGTAGATTGCCTTGAGTAGGATGGACATCTTAACAATGTTGATTCTTCCAATCCACGATCATGGAATATTTTTCCATTTGTTTGTGTCATCTTTGATTTCTTTTGTTTTTGTTGTTTTTTTTTTTTTTTTTTTTGAGTTGGAGTCTCACTCTGTCGCCCAGACTGGAGTGCAGTGGCCGCTCCCGGCCACCGCAGCCTTGACCTGCTGGGCTCCGGTGATCCTTCCACCTCCTCCTTCCAATTAGCCGGAATTACAGGCATGCGCTACCATGCCCGGCTGATTTTTTGATTTACTGTAAAGATGAGTTCTCGCTGCCCAGGCGGGTCTCGAACCCACGGGCTCAGGCAATCCACTTACCTCAGCCTCCCAAAGGCACAGGATTACAGGCTGAGCCACCGAGCCCGGCTCATCTTTGATTTCTTTGAGCAGTGTTTTGTAGTTTTCGTTGGAAAGGTCTTTGACTTTACTGGTTAGGAAGATGCCAAGTTATTTCTTTTTTGTGTGTGTGGCTATGGTGAATGAGATTGTACTTTTTGAGGGTTTTCTTTGTTTGTTTTTTTGAGTTGGAGTCTCACTCAGTCACCCACACTGGAGTGCAGTGGCCGCTCCCGGTCACTGCAGCCTCAACCTGCTGGGCTCTGGCGATCCTTCCGCCTCAGCCTTTCAAGTAGCTGGAATTACAGGCGCATGCTACCACACCCGGCTAATTTTTTTGATTTATTGTAGAGATCAGGTCTCGCCAAGTTGCCCAGGCGGGTCTCGATTACCATCATCCTTCGCCTATCCATCTCTCCTTCAGGACATCTCACGGCCCTTGCGGGGCAGGCCCCGCACACGGGCTCAGGCAATTCACTCACCTCAACCTCCCAAAGTGCGGGTTTGCAGGCAGAGCCACCGAGCCCAGTCGGGATTGTGCTTTTTATTTGGGTTTCTATTTGTTTATTATTGGTGTATAGAAATGCGATTGACTTTTGCACATTTATTTTATATCCCGAGATCTTGCCAAGTCCTTTATCAGTATAAGGAGGGTTTTGACAGATTCTCTTGCGTTTCCAAGGTGTAGAATCATGTTGTTGGCAAAGAGGGATCACTTAACTTCCTCTTTTCCTATTTGGATACCCCTGATTTCCTTCTCTTGTCTGATTGCTCTAGCTAGGACTTCCAATACTATGTTTAACAGGAGACATGAGAGTAGGCATCCTTGTTTTATTCTGGTTTTCAGAGAAAATGGTTCCAATTTCTGTCTGTTTAGCAGTGTGTTGGCTATGGGTTTCTCATAGATGGCTCTTACTATTTTGGGTATGTTCCATCTATGTCTAGATGTTCAAGGATTTTTATCAAGAAGGGGTGCCGGATTTTATCAAAAGCTTTTCCCACATCTAATGATGTAATCATGTGGTTTTTGTCTTTACATCTGTTGATGTATTTAATTATGTTTATGGTCTTGTGGGTATTGAACCAGCCCTGCATCCCAGAGATAAAGCATACTTGGTCATGGTGGATGATTTCTGAGATGTGTTGTGGGATCCAGTTTTCTAGAATCTTGTTGAGAATTTTAGCATCTATGTTCATCAAGGATATTGTCCTATAGTTCTCTCTTTGTTGGATCTTTACCCAGTTTGGATATCAATGTGATGTTAGCTTCATAAAATGATTTGGGGAGAGTTCCATCTTTCTTAATTGTCTGGAATACTTTCAGTAGGATTAGTATCAGCTCCTCCTTGTATGTTTTGTAGAATTCTGCTGAAAACCATCTTGTCCAGGGCTTTTATTTGTAGCTTATTTTCTTATGACATAGTTGATTTCCTGGAAAATTATTGGTCTATTTAGGGTCTTGATTTCTTCTTGTTCAACCTGGGGAGGTTGTGTGATATAAGAAAGTCTTTCATTTCATTTAGGTTTTTAGTTTGTTTCCATATAGGTGTACATAGTAATCTCTGATAATCTTTTGCATTTCTTCAGGGTCAGTTGTGACTTCATCTTTTGCATTTATAACTGTGTTTATTTGGGTTTTTTCTCTCTTTTTCTTGTTTATTCTAGCTAAAGGTCCATCGATCTTGTTTGTCCTTTCAAAAAATCAGCTTTTGGTTTCATTGATTTTTTTGTATTATATTTTTGTGTTCTGTGTCCCAAATTTGGGCTTTTATTTTGGTGATCTGGGTTCTTCTGCTGAAGTTAGAGTTTTGGTGGTCTTGCTTTTCCAGCTTCCTTAGGTGATTTGTTAGGCTGTTAATTTGTGATCTTTCCATTTTCTTCATCTGTGTTTGTAGAGATATGAATTCCCCTCTTAAGATTGTTTTCATGGCATCCCAGAGATTTTGGTAAGATATTTATTCATTTTCATTTGTTTCCAGATATCTTTTATTCCCTGTTTTGATTTCCATGTTGACCCAGAAGTTGCTTAGCCTCATGCTGTTTAGTGTCCATATCTTTGGAAGGAACTTTGTTGGTGTTGATATTTATTTTTATTCCACTGTGGTCTGAGAAGGTACAAGGCAGAATTTCAATCTTATGGCATTTGTTTATGCTTGATTTATGGCCGAGGATGTGGTCAATCTTAGAGTATGTTCCATGTGGTGAAGAGTAGAATGTATATTCTGTCGTTGTTGGTTGGAGTGTTCTGGGTATCAGTTAAGTCCATTTGGTCAAGTATCACATTGAGATTCCAGATCTCCTTGACTTTTTATCTTGATGATCTCTCTAGGGTTGTTTGTGGGGTGTTTAAGTCCCCAACTATGATAGTATTAGAATCAATATCTTTTTTTAGTTTGCCTAGAAGCTGCATTATGAAAGTTGGTGCTCCTATGTTGGGTGCATATATGTTTAGGATGGATATTTCTTGTTGAGATTGAAACTTTTATCATTATGTAGTTACCTTTTTACATTTATGACAGTTTAGAAGGTATTTTGTCTGATATTAAGATCATGACTCCTGCTTTCTTTTGTGTTCCATTCTCCTGGAATTGTGTTTCCCATCCTCTTACTTTGAGTCTGAGTGTCCTTTCTGGTGACATGAGTCTCTTAGAGATGATATATTATAGTCTCATGATATTTTATCCAATTTTATCCAATTCTATGTCTTTTCAGTGGTGCATTTCGTCCACTCACATTCGGGCATTTAGTCCATTCACATTATCGAGATGTGAGAGTTTATCCCTGACATGAGATTCTTATAGAGTCTGTTGTTGCTGTTTGTTTGTTTATTTGTTTGCTGTCTTTCTTTTGATTTTTGGGTTGATTCATGTGTTTTCAATCTTTTTCCCGCATACTTGTGAAGGGCCTTGTCATCCTTTTTTTCTTTTCTTCTGTGTTTAATACTTTCTTAAGTGTTTCTTGTAGAGCTGATCTGGAGCCAGCATAAACTCTTAGGGATTGGATGTCTGGGAAGGATTTTAATTCTCCATCACTGATGAAACTTAGCTTAGCTGAGTAGGTAATTCTTGGTTGAAATTGTTTATCTTTGAGAACTTTGAAGACTGGGCTCCAAGCTCTCCTAGCCTGAAGCATTTTTCTGTAGATAAGTCTGTTGCTATTCTAATTGGTCTTCCCCGGTGAGTAGTCTGACCTTTCTCTCTTACTCCCTTTAGGATTTTTTCTTTTATATTTACTATGTGTAGGTGAATTACTATGTGTCTAGGACTTGGTATTCTATTTGTTGTCTTGCAGGGGTCCTCTGAATCTATTGTGTTTGAATGGTCACAGCATTGATGAAATGAGGGATGTATTCTTGGATAATTTCATGGAATGTTTGTTCCAGGGTGGTCTCTGCCTCTCAGGGATTCCCATTAATCTGAGGTTTGTCCTCTTGAAATAATCACCAATCTCTTGGAGGTTTTATTCTGTCTTTTTAAGCTTCTTTTCTATGTTTTTAACAGTTTGAATTAGTTCCATATTTTGGTCCTCAAGTTCTGAGATTCTTTCTTCTGCTTGGTTAATTCTGCTTTCCATATTTATCAGTTTGTTGTTTATTTCACTCATTGTATTCTTTATTGCTGTTATCTCAGTTATCAATCCTTCATTCTTTCTTCTTTTCTCTCCTCATTTGTATTTTTTCTTTCTATTAATATCTTGATATCTGGGTTTGTGGTTTGAGACTAGTCATTCTGGGGGCTCTTCATTGTTTGAGTTCTGAAGTCTTGTATTCTCAGTGGCTGTCCTCCCAGGGGTTTGTGTGAGACTCATATTCTTCCTTTGGTTTTTCTTCATTTGTGTAGGTTTTCCTCCCCCTTTTTTACCTCTTCTTTAATTCTCTTGTTCAGTGATGGGGGGATAGCTTTTATTTCTGTTTGCTCAATGTCTTATTCTTCCTTATATGGATTCTCTGTTTTTGTTCAATTCTGAAGCTGGACTTGGGGTGGGGGCCTGTGCTTTTTGCAGTTTTGAGATTTAATTAAGGGAGGAGTTGTGATTCAGAAGCTATCTGCAGATTCCAGTATCTGCTGACAGGTGTGTAGGCCCCCTGGAACCCACTTCCCACTGCCTTACAATCTGGCCATACAGTGGGGGTGTCTGTTTGCCCCTGAAAGCAAAATGAGATAAGAAAAGGGAAAAGAATGGAAAAAGAAAAGAGGAAGGCAAAAGAGAGGTGAAGAGAGAGAGCAAGAGGGAAAACAGACAGGCTTACCAACTAACGAATAAACAGAGAGAGACACAAATACAGAAAAACAAAAAAGACAAAAACATACAGGCAATCATACAAGCAAATAAACAAACAAAAACCCCCCTGTTGGTGTACTCTCCCTCAAAAATACCCATATATAAACAGAAAATCTTAAAAAAAAGTTAAAATAATAGATACAAAGCACCTACAAAAACATAAACAAAAACAGAAAGAAAGAGAGAAGAAAAAAAGCTAAAACTAAAACAAAAAACAAACAAGAAGGAAAAAAAACTCACTCTGTTGCCATTTCTGTGACTCCAGGTTCCCTTCAGGCCTCCACCTTAGGGAGTGGCTCTGATCTCCAACTCCCCTCTGCTCTCAATGCAGGCTGATAGGGTTGCTCTCCTACTTGATGTTTTAATGGCATATCATAGTCTAATTACATTAGTCATAAATACTTTAAAAGTAAGAGTGAATGCCTCCCTCACAAACATAACTTGAAAGCAAGATTCAAATGCAGGAGGCACGGATATGGCGAATTTGGCTGATCTGGCTGGCTAGGCAAGTATCCCCTCCCTCACTCCACCACGTGCATCCCTCCCGAAGCTGCATGCTCAGTTGAAGAGGATGACCACCCCCATTAGAAGAGGACAATTCTTTGGTCAAGAGTATAATAGTAGCTGTGCTCCCCTGCTAGAACCTCCACACAAGCTGTTACATACAGGAGGTGGACTGGTATCACAGAAAGGCACAGGCTTCCAAGTGAAACTTGGCTTTGAATCCCTGTGCATGCACGACCGTTTCACAGCACCCCTAGGGGTAAGGTGCTGTCATTGCATTGGCAGTAGAATAATTTGCCATCATCCTGATGACATCAGCAGCAAAATGCTTATGTTCCAGGCCTTGTTCTACGCACTTCACAGGTATCATAAAGCTTAATTCTCACAAAATGTTATAAGCTCGATTGAGTTACAATTATCATGCCCACTTGACACACCTGGAAACCAAGGTCCGAGAAAGTTACCTGTCCCCAGTCACACGGTGAGTGAGTAGCTGAGCCAGAATGCAAAAGTAGATGGTCAGCCCCATAGGTACACAACTACAGGACTCAACACCTAAGTGAGAGTTTCCCATACTTGGAGGGTTTCTGAAACAGCAGACTTCTTTTTTGTCCTGACACCCTCGAAACTTGGGCTGCAGCCTCTGTGGACCCCAAGACATGTACCCATGCTGCAAATTCAAACAAGCAAATCTAGACTGCAGAGAGTGTTGAGTGAGATGTCTTCTCAATTATTCAACCAATTCTCACTGAGTGTCCACTCTACATGGTGAGGACTAGATGCTGTGACAGTAGAAATATTGAAAGACGGGTTGACTTTCATGACTGGGTGGCTTATTTCTTGGCCACAGGAGTAAAGGGGGTCCCTCTAATTGGGACAGTCAGGCAAAGCTTCCAGGGAGAAGAGGCACTTAGATCAGGACTGAAATGGTTAGAAAATTCACTTTGTCAACTAAAACCCAGACCTGCAGAGGCCTAGGCTTTACTACGCTACATAACATATGTGCATCCCCCAGTCCTATTGGGAGGGTTTACTACAGGTGAGTAACTCCTCTGTGTGCCTTCCTTGCAGATATACCCAGATGAAAGCCATTACTTTAATAGCGTCAATCTCAAACAGCATCTATACCGATCCATCATCAACTTCTTCGTGGAATGCTTCAGGATTCAGGACAAACTACCAACAGTCACAGCAAAAGAAGATGAGGAGGAGGACTAACCCTTGGGTCACCCTAAGCACAAACGTGGCTCTTTCTACAACCATATGCAACTGAGGAATTTCCCCGCCCCTCCCTCTTCCCTCCAAGGGCTGGGGCAGGGGGCAGGGCGTTGCCGTTCCACAGTATGTGTGTCTCGGATACCGAAGGCAGTTTTGCTTGGGAAACAAGCTCCTTTCCCCAGGGGCTCATCACTCTTTCCGACCTCCACAGAGCCTGGAATAACTCTGCAGCCACAGCAGGGCCTCATCCTGGCCCCAGAGTGACCGGCACACCCCACAGCCCCTCCCCCAAGGAACACAGCAAAGGATGGTGATGGTGAGGGCCCTCAGAGCCCTCGGGAAACTGGCCCCTAGATTCCAGCTATCAAGCAGTAGTATTGAGACCCACCCTCTATGTTCCAGTTCTATGTTCACGTTAGCAGCATTACATCCAGTCTGATGTAACAGTGCCATGGAAACAGCAATGATAGCACAATTGTTTTAGCAGTACATGTCCATAAATTGGCTTGCCCCTCTCTGTAATTAAGAGAAACAGCATTATAAGGGGCTACACCAGGAAAACAGACCCTTTTCTGTACAAAGTATTATTGTAGCTGCGCTAATGGTTAATCTTATAGAATTAATTCATATTTTTCTATGGTTTTAACCTGATGCTTCATTGTCTCTGGTCATGAGGTTTGTTTTTGCTGTGCTTTAAAGACAATTTTTTTTTTGCTTTGTTTTATTTTCCTTTCTTCAGTCAATGTGTAGACTTGGCGCTTGTTAGATACAGAAACAGATCAGAAGGTTGTCTTCAGACTCTGTGGAGACATTCTTAAACACTGAGAGGAAACAACCTCCAGTCATAGTCACTAAAAGAGACTACATAAATAAAACCTCTCTCCCACTGAGCTGCAATAGGGCTTGGCTGTAGATTTACATTGTCCATTTTCATGTGTCCTTAAAACCATCCTTAACCTCCTTGATAAGCTATCAAGTCTTTTCATAAGACATTTGGTTAAAAAACAAAACAAAACAAAACAAAAAACATAAGAAGACAGAGCGTCAACTCCACCCCCAGGTCTGTTGTATGTGTTTGGGGGTCACGGGAATCCTGAGGGGATACGTGGGAGCGTACCAGTGTCCCTCTCCTGTCTTAGGGGTGGCTCCATTCCCCTCCAGCTGCGAGCAGTGAGGTCAATGTTGTGCTACGTCAGCCGTGTAAGATACACTCTGACCAAACGTGCAGCTGGTGTTCCCAGTGTATATTTCATTCTGTTGTATATAAAGGAAGGAATGTATGTCAGGCATCTGTGCAGTTGCCCTGCCCACCTCCCGCCAGTACTAACCTTGTGTTGAGCTTGCATGCTGACACTCTTGGCTGATCTGGACTCTCTAGAAGTGCTAGTTTGAAATATATCAATTACCGTCATTTCCTTTTGAGCTTGTCGACAACCTGAATGTCAGGACTGATTTCTCCAGCTTCTGGTCCTGCTGGGGGTGTTCTTGACATCCTGAAAGCAGAGGAGATGTGTCCATGTTGCTTTTTTGGTGTTTGGGGTTTTGGATTCATCCACACATGCTTTGAACTTCAGTGGTCATTAAGTTGAATGGATGCGCTCCATCACAGAATTTTTTTAAGGTGATCCATCACCATTCACTAAAAAGGATCAATGTGCTGACAACAGGACCGATCTGAATGCTACATGATTATACGTTTACTATTCAGTGGGCTTGACCGACTACAAAGCCAAGTAGGTCTGGAGGAGGAAGCCAGCTCTGGCCACCACATCTGGTGGGAGGGAAGTGGGGATGTGGCATGGTAACGTTTGTTCATCCATGGAATAAAACATTATTTTACCACTCGGATGGCTCTTTTCTTACTTCTCCTCCAGCATCTCATCTTAGGAAGTATGCTAGGCTTTAAGACGTTATTAAAGTACTCATTGGGCCCCACCAAGACAGATGCATTACCCCAAGAGTCTGGTGTGCATCAAGTAAAGACTGTGTCTGTGGTAGCAGCCGTACTGAGAGTTAAGAAGAATAGGGCCAATCGAATAAATTGAAGTCCAAGATCAATCAGAGAAAATGAATTTGTGTTTGTCTCAAAAGTCTTAGGGTAGAGACACAGGGTTGCTTATTCCCTAACACTAAGAGTACAATTGGTTCTCAGTTGAAGCCATAGCATTGCCCACTAGAAACTTTACAAAAATATCTCCATCTGTAGAAGATTTGTCTACTCATTCTGTTGTTAATTTAATGTCTAGTGTAAAGATGTCCCAACCTGAAAGCAGAGGGATTGATGAAAAAAGAAAAGAAAAAACACTTCCAAATCATGAAGCAACTGCTGCCTGATACACCAGAGGTCACATCAGCCCGGTCATCCCAGCAGAATTAGTTGTCACCCTTCTTGATCAAGAATCAAAAGCAAGAGAATCTTCAAAACCAGAAGTAGCAGAGGCCATCTCAGTCAAATGTACTCACTTCCCCATGAACCACCCTGGCCCCTCCCCAGCCTCAGCCAGAGGAAGCAAACTCCCCTCTCCCACCTTTCCATAGCTGAGTCCTTTCCTTCTGGGTGGGGGCTGAATTTGTGGATAGGAGTTGAGGGTTTACCCAAGAAGGTGTATTTTCATACTTTGGAAAATACTGGTTATGGAATGACAAGATAGGACTGGCCCTGAGAGCAGACATTGGCCACAACCTTACCAGGGACCTCTCTATTTTCCACCTGGAGAATGCTCAGCCCACCACCCACTCAAAATCTAGAATGGCTTTGGGGAGATGCTGGTGTGGTCTTGCCAGACCCTTGCAGCTATGGCTGCTGTGCCTGTCTGTGACCTGATGCCTCCCCAGGCCTTCCCTGTGTGTTCAAGTTAGATACATATGGCATGCTTAAGCCCTATCTTTATTTCAGCTTTAAGTTAGTTTTACAAATGTTTTAATATTAAGTGTTCAGTCATGTCGCTACAGAACTCTAGAAGCACCTCTGAGTTCCTCAGCACCCATTTCCAGGACCTCAGCTCCAACACGTGAGCTGTTCGTGGCATTTCCTGGGACATAAAGCCACCACATTCACAAGGGCATGCATGCGGGGGAATTTCTGTCCATGGGCCTGAAATCCTGCTCCTTCTTTTCCTACTGACCTCACAGTCCCCAGAAGTAATGATTTCTAAAAGTATCAGTTGTTTTCAGGAACCCCCTATTGAAAACCCATGTTATAAGAGAGGACAGAAGGACATGTCCAGAAAAACTCCTTGACCCTCCTCCTTCATAGCACATGGATGTGGAGAATCCCAGAAGGAATTAACAGGTACCTGGTGAGCAACTGGATGTGCCAATGGGCCAGACCAGACCATCAGTTAACAAGAGCTCTGATCCAAGCCTGCAGCAGCCAGCCCCGAAGCCATCACGACCTCTGCAACCCTTGACCCCAGATTGTCAGAACTTAAGCAGTAACTGCCAGTTTTCCTCATTTTTAGCTTGGCATCTAACTGTGGACCCACTGGGAAAAGCCAGATACCTACCCCTAACCAATCTCCCAGAACACCCTGCTTCTGGTTAGCCGCCTCCAGCTTCCCAAGCTAGCAGCCTCCAACCAGGGAATCCTTGGAGCCTTTCTTATCTCCACTGTAAAGTCTTCCCACCCTTCCACCTGCTTTTGGGGTCTCTACCCAATGCAGCTGAAGATGGCCAACTTTCTTGCTACAACAAGCTCTGAGTGATTGACCTCTGCTTTCTCTCATTTTGGTGATCTGTTAGGCCAGCTACCATAACAGAATACCATAGCCTTTAGGGCTCAAACCTCGAGTCAGGAATTTGTTTTCCACAGTTCCACAGGCCGGGCATCTGAGGTCATGGTGCCAGTGATATGATTTCCCAGTGAGTATCCTCTTCCTGGTGTGCAGACAGCCACCTTCTTGTGGTGTCCTCACATGGCAGAGAGAGAGAGGAGGGGGGCGGGGAGAGAAGGAGGGAGGGAGATCTGATGTATATTCTTACAAGGGCACTAATCCCATCATGGGGGCATCCACCCTTATGACCTCATCTAACTCTAATCACCTTCTAAAGGCCCCATCTCCAAATACCATCACACTGGGGGTTAAGGCTTCAACAATGAATTTTGAGGTGGCACATAAGTCTTATAACTGGTACTCTTTCTTTATTTTCACATGGAATTTCAGAGAGAAAACAGTGTTCTTTTCCAAACAGAAGAATTGTTGAGGGGTCTATGAGGACCCTGGGGCCAGGGAAGGAGGCCAGAAGAGGAGAATGATGGACTATCTAGGAGACTGACTTGCCTGCTGGGTCTTCCCAGAGGGTCTTGAGGGGCAACCTGATGGAGGATGCTCCTGAAGGCCTGCCTTCCCTTTTGCAACCCACAGCTCCAAAACAGCCATTCTCCATCTGAACTTAGTCATGGACACAACACACATAGGAAGTCTAAAGCCCAGAGAAGGCTGGGCACAGTGGCTCACACCTGTAATCCCAGCACTTTGGGTGGGAGGATCACTTGAGCCCAGGATTTCGAGACCAGCCTGGGCAGCACAGGGAAACCCTGTCTCTTTAAACAAAAAATAAATAAAAGTACAATAAAAATAAAGCCCAGAGAAGGAAAGGAAGTTGCCCAAAATCATACAGGAAGGTAGCCACAGCCTTACATCCCTTTCCCCCATTTTTTCTTGTTGTGTTTTCTTTAATGATAAGCCCACAAGCCCAGGCCTCAGGGCCTCCAGCAGAAACCAGCTGTCTTTCTCAGCAGAGTTGGGTGAAGAGGTCTAGCATGTTCCCTCCGGGGCTTTCCTCCTCACCTATGTATGCCCCAAGTCTCCAGACAACGTAGGGCAAGGCGCAATAGATGCTGGCATCAAGATCTAGACTCCGAGCAAACGACAGATCTATAGACCCTCCCAATGCCTGTCCAGGTCAGGGAGCCTTTCTGGAAAACCTCTAACTGATCAGCTTACCAGGCACCCAATGAACTGGTATGTGGTAGATCACTGTGGATTCCTAGGCTGGGATCTGAAATGCCCCGCAAGTATAGGGTATAGTATAAATAAGCAGAAGGGTCAAATCTTCACACCCCCTAGATCAGGGGACCTCACACCTTGGTGCATGTCAGAATCCACTGAGGTGCTTGGTAATAATAGCCATGCACATATGCACACACACACAACTTTGAGAAGCACCTCACTGAAGTTGATTGAAGTCTGAGCTCATCTTCTCTCCCTGCCCCACAAAACCTGAGCACATATCCTTAAGTCTTAGGTTTTGGCCCTAGAATCCTAGGTGATGACTCCTGATTATAAGAAGCAAGACTCCTGGACAACTAGAATTTCAGATCATACCAGAGAAGGGTCTGTGCCAATTCTTCAACATATTTCCATTATGGCAATTTAGGCTCTGATGAGGCTCTGACTGTTAATTCTGCCCCACCCCTCCTCTTTCAAACTTCCTTTGAATCCAGATGCCAGGTTTATTCTCCACAGGATGAAAAAAGTGGCTGGAACCAATTATTTCTCAGAGGCTTCTTATGAGAGGCTATGGACCAGAGTCCACAGCCTTAAGCATAACTTATAACACTGCCAGTAACCAAGCTCCAATGTATAATTGCAAATTTATCTCCCATTATTGCCCTGTACATACTTTAGGACCAATAGAACTACTCTCCTTTCTCTCCAGGCACCCCTCAAGTGCCTGATCCCTCCCACACACACCATCACAAACACACACAAGCCTGTACTAATACTTTCCCTCTGTTTGAAAGGACATAAATGGAGTCAATATTGCCAAAGAGCAGCCATCTTGACACTGCCTAGTTCTGTCATATTATCTTAACAATGCCTAGCTTGCCCTCTAATTACTAGCCAAGGAAAGAACTAGTACCTCAGAGGTAGCTATTGATAATCGTTTTGCACCCCCTCCCTAGTTTGCTTTGTCCTAATTAGCTTTTCTATTCCAAGTGTCTGTATAAGAAACAAGTCAATTTAATCAGCCCCTCATGACCTTCGTGTCACAGACCCTATCAACATGGCAATAGTCATATGACTAGCCCACCCATCTGCCTGCCATCCCTCACCTGATATCAGTACCTGTGCTTACCTGTCCCCTTTGTGATAATATGGAACAGACCACCACCCAATCACCTTAGCAATCTGCCCCCATCAAAGGGAAGGTTTAAAAGCATTCAACTTCAAGCAGCCATTTGCCATTGTTTCTGTTTAGCACTGGCCAAGTCATGTATTTATTGAGCTATGACTGCCATGTTTCCTAGTTTTGGCCCCCTTCCCTACCTCGGGGAGGTGAATCTCCTCTCTCTCTCTCTCTCTCTCTCTCTCTCTCTCTCTCTCTCTCTCTCTCTCTCCAATTTACTTTTGAAATAAACTATATTTTCTGATCTAATTTCTGTGCAATTCTTTGCATCTTACACAAGGCACCAGATTGCAGACACCCCCCACACACACCCCGCGCAATCAGGTCTGACCTAACATTTTGGAGGCCCTGCTGGGATTTTTAACCTAACACTGAATTTCTCAGCCTCAACATTGTGACACTTTGGGCTCGAAAATTCTTTTCACTGGAGACTGTCCTGTGCACTGTAGGATGTTTAGCAGTATTCCTGGTCTCAACTCATTAGATGCCAGTAGCCGCTCCAATCCTTGTGCTAGAAGTCTCTTGGGGGATAAAATCACTGCTTGATGTGACTGCAGAGGTGGTATACAATGTTCAAGGGTTAATTCGTGTGCATCACAAACAACCCTCACTTGCCTGCCCCACTGAGAGATTTTGTACCCCAGGGGCCTTGTCTGCCTCACATGGTCCCAGCCTCAAAGCGACCAGGCCTTCACTGGCTTCTTTTCAACTCATTG